AGAGTCCCTGATGGAGCCAGAGAAAGGTGGGGTGCAGAACTCAAATTCTAGTAAAAAGACCAGACTTAATGGTCAGACTGAGACTGGAGGAACCCTGGAAAACATGACCCCCAGACTCTCTGTTAACCCAGAACTAAAACAATTTCTGAGGCCAACTCTTCGGACAAAGATTGGACTGGACTGTGGGACATAAAATGATGCTTGTGACTAGTGTGCTTCTTAGCTCAGGTAGATACATGAGACTAAATGGGCAGCTTCTGTCGGGAGGTAAGATGAGAAGACAGGGAGGGTTAGGAGCTGGTTGAATGGACGTGGGAAATCAGGGGTGGAAAGGAGCGTGCTAGCACAGTATTGGGAGAGCCGTTAGGGTCACATAACAATGTATGTATAAATTTTTGTATGAGAGACTAACTTGAAATGTAAACTTTCACTTAAACTACAACAATAAACAAAAAAAGAAACTGCTGTTTCAGAAGAGAGGTGTCACAAGCCCTTTGCTGACAGGGCTTAGGCAGGGGATTGACTGTTTCTCTGCTCTCATTCCTCACTCAGCTGCTGGCCCCCGGCACCGTGTGTCGTGAGCAGGCACGGCAGTGCGACCTTCCGGAGTTCTGCACGGGCAAGTCTCCCCACTGCCCCACCAACTTCTACCAGATGGATGGCACGCCCTGTGAGGGCGGCCAGGCCTACTGCTACAACGGCATGTGCCTCACCTACCAGGAGCAGTGCCAGCAGCTGTGGGGCCCTGGTAAGTAGGACTGTCCTGGGGCGAACGCCTCCTTCCACTCCATGACTTCCAGTCCAGCCTTTTCTCTTCAAGTGTTCAGGGTAGCTTAGAATCTGTACTTCAACACAGCACCTCCAGATACGATGTTTATCATCCCCTTGACTTGGGGAAGATTTTCAGGGAGAGCCAGTGGACAGTGTTCCTCCCAGTTCCTTGATGCTTTAAATTCTCAAAGTGGGTAAATGGATAAGGATAATCCAACAGAAAAACAGACAGAGAGTGGAGACAGAAAAGGAAATGCAAATGGCCCTTAAGCTGTGAAAAAATGTTTAACGTCACTCATATTAAGGGAAAGCAGATAGTGACTACCATGAGATGGGATCTTTCATGTATCAGATTGGCAAAGACTGAAACGTTTGATAATATAAGTAATTGTGGTAATATAGTGCTGTGAAATGCTATGGGAAAACACACAGGTGCAAACTCTGTGGAAAGCAGCTTGGGAATATCAAAATTTTAAGTGCACTTATCATTAGGCCCATGAATTCCACTACTTAGGAATGTATCCTATGCCTTTACTTGCATGTGAATGTGAATATATGTTTATAAGGATATTCATTGCAGTATTGTTAGTTTTAGCAAAAAACAACATATATGTCCTCCAATAGGGGGGCCAATTAAATTAATTATGGTACATCCATGCAGTGGAACACTCTGCAGCTGAATAAAGAAGGAGGCAGCTCTGTATGTACTGAATGAAATCATCTCCCACAGTACACTATTAAATGAAAAATGCAAGGTGCAGAACAGTGGATAGATTATCTCTAGAAGATACACAGGTAACAGTTATTAATAGTTGAATGGTTGCTTCTTCAGGGTGTAGGGGAGTAGGAACTGGTTGTTTTGGGGGACAAATTCCAAAGACAGATACTTTGTATCTTTAAAATTTTGTGCATATATTATTTATTTTTAAAAATCCTGAAATAAGGTCAAGGCTTCTTCTTTTCTTGTGATGTCTTTGTCTGACTTTGGTATTGGCGTGATGCTGGCCTCACAGAATGAGTTCAGAAGTGTTCCTTCCTGTTCTACTTTTGGAAAAGTCTAAGAAGTATTGAAGTCACTTGTTCTACAAATGTTTGGTAGAATTCCCCAGGGAAGCCACCCAATCCAGGACTTTTCTTTGTTGGCAGGTTTTTGATTCCTGATTCAATTTCTTCATTTGTGCTGGGTCTGTTGAGATCTTCTGTTTCTTCTTGAGTCAATGTAGGAGTTTATGTGTTTCTAGCAATTTGTCCATTTCCTCTAAGTTACCTAATTTGTTGGCATATAATTGCTCATAGTATTCTCTTATTATCCTTTTTATGTCCCAGTCTTCTTCATTAGAGAGAAGGCTTAGCATGCAACCCACCCACAGACATAAATCCTGAATAAGGTATAAAGCACTGATATAAAACTTTTTCTATCAATAGATTTTGATGCGGAGGTAGGGGTAGAATAACCTGATAGGGGTACAGGAAGAAAAGGCTGAGCATTCTCCCCTCCCCCAAAAAACTTTCCAAACTTCATGATTTTACCAATAATACAATATAATATAGCTTGCACTTTGGGAGGCTCTGAATTAAACTGAAGTTGGCTGATCTACTTGATAAATTTTGTTTCTTTCCCACCCAGGAGCCCGGCCTGCCCCTGATCTCTGCTTCGAGAAGGTGAATGTGGCAGGAGACACCTTTGGAAACTGTGGGAAGGACATAAATGGTGAACACAAGAAGTGCAACATGAGGTGATGACCATAGGGCAGACCCCATGAGAGGAGGGGTCACAAAGCATTTTCTGATTGAACTCCTCACCTCTGCCCCGCACAGCAGCTTGGTGAGCCCAGTGCTGGGCCTGTAAATATATCAGCTGAAGTCAGTCATCTTTTCTAGGCCTGATGTTTTGCAATGTACCATTCAGCCCTGAGGAAGTGAGAGGGTGGGTGTGGATGGCAGTGTTTCCTAGAAAGCTGGTCAGTCTCTGTCTTAGCCATCCATTGCTACTATAACAGAAATACCACAAGTGGATGACTTTAACAAAAAGAAATTTATTGTCTCACAGTCTAGTAGGCTACAAGTCTGAATTCAGGGCGTCAGCTCCAAGGGAAGGCTTTCTCTCTCTGTCGGCTCTGGAGGAAGGTGCTTGTCATCAGTCATCCCCTGGTCAAGGAGCTTCTCAGCACAGGGACTCAAGGTCCAAAGGCTGCGCTATTTTCCTGGCTCTTGTTTCTTGGTGGTATGAGGTCCCCCTGTCTCTCTGCTAGCTTCTCTCTTTTATATCTCAAAAGAGATTGGTCCAAGCCACAATCCAATCTTGTAGCTTGAGTCCTGCCTCATTAACATAACTGCCACTAATCCCATCTCATCAACATCATAGAGATAGGATTTACAATACATAAGAAAATCACATCAGATGACAGAATGGTAGACAATTATACAATACTAGGAATCATGGCCTAGTCAAATTGATACACATATTTTTGGGGGACACAATTCAATCCATGACAGCCTCCCTTTTGGGACCTTCTTACAGTAAGGTAGGGAATTGACCCTCAATTCTTCAGGGTGATAATTGTGCCCTCATCTGAGTAGCCCAAGTCATTTATTGATTCTACCATCCATCCATCCATCCAATATCTATTGAAGGTTTACTATGTGCCAAATACTGTGCTGAGTACTGGGGGGAGAAAGTGGAGATCAAGACTCACTTCTGCCTTCATGGAACTTTTGTGATAATGATGGAAGAGAGCCACTGTATTAGTTTCCTAGGGTTGCCGTAACAAGCTACCACAAATTAGATGGCTTAACCCAACAGAAGTTTACTCTCTCACACTTCTGGAAGTTAGAAGTCTGAATTCAGGTATCAGCAGGACTGTCTCTCTCTGAAGGCTCTAGGGGAAGGAAAATCCTTTCTTGTCTCTTCCAGCTTCTGATAACCGCAGATGTTCCTTGGCTCATGGCAGCATAGCTCCAGTCTCTGTTCTGTCTTCACATGGCTGTCTTCCCTCTGTCTGTCTGTCTCTCTGTGTCTCTTCTCCTCTTTTGATAAGGATACCAGTTTTATTGAATTAGGGCCCACCCTACTCCTGTATGACCTTTGTTAACTAACTACATCTGCAAAGACTCTACTTACAAATAAGGTCACATTTACAGGCAAGGTGAGTTAGGTATTTAACATATCTTTTTGGGGGATACGAATCAACCCATAACAGCCACCTAACGCCATCTTAATGGGTCAGGGGTGGTTTCCCAAAGGAATTATGGCTCAGCTGAGATCTGGAGGAATTATGTAGGTGAAAAGGGTGGAAATGGTGCCAGTGCATGGGAGAATGTTCCAGGCAGAGAGATGAGTCGAGTCTAGTGTAAGAGCTAAACTGGCAATTGGAAGAACTGATAACACTTTGATACAGTTAAATTATAGTATTGGGGTTCAGTGGAGAAGGGCCTGCTGAGAAATGAGCCTGGAGAATTCAGCAGGGATCAGATCATGAAAATTCTTAAATACATGGATAGGGGAGTATGGATTTTGCCTTGAGAGCCATGTGGAAACAAGACTAGTAGGGCAAGACTGGTTCCTGGGCGGTGCAAACGGGTTTGTGCTCAACTACTAACCTAAAGGTTGGTCGTTCGAACCTACCCAGTGGTGCTGCAGAATAAAGGCCTGGTGATCTTCTTCCATGAAAATTACAGCCCCAAAACCCTATGGAACAATTCTACTCCATAACATATAGGGGTTGCCGTGAGTCAGAATTGACTTGATGGTAATGGGTTTTTTTTTTAGAGGAGGGCAAGACTGGAGGCAGGTAGGTCAGTTTCCTGCAGTCCAGGTAAGAGAGGATAGCAGCATGAATTAGGGTCAATATATAGGAGGGAGAATTGCAGGGCTTGAAAATTGCTTGAAGCCAAGGATGAGGGATAATGGGGAGTCGAGGATGGCTATAAGCTTCTGGCTAGAGCACCTAGCGGGGTGGCAGATTCCTCAGATCAGACCATTGTCAAGGCCAGTTCTCTGGCCTAGATATACTTGGGGACAGGAGTTCTGTTCCCTTCCCCTGGTTTTAGTCCACATGGGATCTCCCCTGGTGGGTCCCTAGAGCAGATTCACTGCTCTGACCTTTGCCTTGCCCCACCCAAAGCCCATTGTCATGGTCGGAGGGCACTAAAGCTCGTGGGTGCTCCAGCACTCCCTCTGCCACTGATTCCATTTCCTTCTCTCCCTCTCTCCTGACCCAGAGATGCCAAGTGTGGGAAGATCCAGTGTCAGAGTTCCGAGGCCCGGCCCCTGGAGTCCAACGCAGTGTCCATTGACACCACCATCATCATGAACGGGAGGCAGATCCGATGCCGGGGCACTCATGTCTACCGAGGTCCTGAGGAGGAGGGTGACATGCTGGACCCAGGCCTAGTGATGACTGGGACCAAGTGCGGCAACAACCATGTGAGTCCTTCCCCCTGCCTCACTCAGGGCTGGGCCCCATAGGGGAAGGACTAAGGCTCTGGAGGGAGGGTGTTGGGTTCAAATCCCAGCCTTACCAACCTCTCAGAGCCTCAGTGTCTTCTTTTATAAAATATGTTTCATAATAGCAAGTGCCCACCCCATAACCAAAAAACCAGTTGCTGTTGAATGGATTCCAACTCGTGGCAATACCATGAGTAGAGCTGTGCTCTGTAGGGTTTTCAATAGCTGATTTTTTGGAAGTAGAACTGGGTTTTTCTTTTGAGGTGATTCTGGGTGGACTCAAACCTTCAACCTTCTGGTTAGCAGCTCAGTCCCTGAGCGTGTTAGCTGTTTGCACCAGCCAGGGACTCTGCCCCGTAGAATTACTGTAAATATTAACCAAGATAATCCATAAAGCACATAGATGGGCTAGCTATTATCATTTTCATCCTCATCATTAATTATGAATTAAGAGATGGACTTGGGAACCCTGGGGAAAATAATAACACCTATCTCATAAAGTTAACTCTGAGAATGAAATAAAAATATATATGAAACACCTGGTATGGTGCTTTGTATACTGTTAAGTAATTAACATATAATCAGCATATGGTACTATATAACATAATAACACGTATTTATATTTATATTATGTTGTTAATTATACTATTTTAAAAATATATCTGTTGTTTTTCCCCCAGTTACAAAAGTAATACTGGAATTTAGTTAACTACTGTCCTGTCCTTGGATTTTTAGGTTGTTTTTGATTTTTCACTCTGATAAATAACCTGAGATGGGCTGCCTTTTTCAGTCCTCATACATTCTAAGTATAAACCCAGGTCTTCTGATTCCCAGCCAGTGTCCCTTCATTGTACTGACCCTTGGCTTCCTCCTTGCTACAGATATGCTTCGAGGGGCAGTGCAGGAACACCTCCTTCTTTGAAACTGAAGGCTGCGGGAAGAAGTGCAACGGCCACGGGGTAGGTGTGGCTGGGCTCTGGTGGCTCCTCTGGGCCGGTGTCCACGGGGAAGACCCTGAGAGGGTCCGGGGTTCTTGGAGGTGTGAGGCAGTCCTGACCTCTGTCCTTCCCTTCCCTTGCTCTAGGTCTGCAACAACAACCAGAACTGCCACTGCTTCCAGGGCTGGGCCCCGCCCTTCTGCACGACGTCCGGCCCGGGGGGCAGCATCGACAGCGGGCCCATGCCCCCCGAGAGTGAGTGCCAGCCTGTCACAGGCCCCTGTCCACCTGCCTGTGGGCCTTTGGGTGGTGCTGTGGGGCCAGGCAGCGTGTTGTATAGTATCCACATTGAGTCTGGTTTACTATTCTGACTTTGTAGGTGAGGAAACCAAGAAAAAGAGAGGCAGAATGAGAGGGGGGATTTAGGCCAGCAGTCTGGTGTGGAAACTCTCAGCTCAGTTAGGGGGAATGTGCTTAGAGGAATTAAGAGAGCCTGTAGGGCATTGGATAATCCCGTCCCGTTTTGGGAATGGAGTGATCAGTGCTTCTTTGGTTCTTAAAAATAATCACGAGTTGAGGGCACATTATGGTGGTTTCGGTTCCCTTGGGTGAACACGTGGAGCCCTGGTAGCGAAGTGGTTAAGAGCTCGGCTGCTAACCAAAAGGTCAGAATTTCGAATCCACCAGCCACTCCTTGGAAACCCTACGGGGCAGTTCTACTCTGTCCTGTAGGGTCGCTATGAGTTGGAACCAACTCGATGGCAACGGGCTTGGTTTTTTATTTTGGCTGGACACAGGATAAAATGCGGAAACTAATATTCAGAAAACTTTTCCAGTTTTTTAGTGGAAACCTTGGGAATTCTAACCCTGTGGTTTCTAAACTATTTTTTTCTTAAAGGTAACAAAATACTTTTTTTTAAAAATAAAGTCTTTCAAGGAAGAACCCTCCCCCTATATATAAAACAGATAAAAGTAGTGTTTTATTGATAGAAATATATTTGTGCATTTAAATGTACAATTTGTGAGAACAGTGAGGTAGTTCTGAAGAAACCAAATATGAAAGTATGGATCGTGGACAACAGTTCTGGTCTGAGATGAGTTTAGATCTTTCAGTGTTGTGTGTTGTTTGCTTCATGTTCAGGAAAACTGTGATTCAGATTCAGGCTGAAAACTAGTGGCAAATGATAATAGAGCTTTATGTATTTGCCTTGAAAGGGACTCTCTTCAATTAAGTGGAGGTGGCTGGAGAAGCTGTATTATGAGGTCTGTGCAAAGCACGTTAACCAGGCTGTTAAGCTAATATTACTGGTTTCCTACTGGTACTTACTGTGTGTTTTTGTTATAACTTTAAAGTTAAAATAAGTAATACAAATTCAATACAAATCAAATATCTGAAGAGAAATCAGGGATACATTGTTTGAACTCCATTGCTTTAGCCTAAAGAGCTTCTAAATTTCTCATTTGGGAGAATTTCTGACCCAGTTTCCTGACTGTTTCTGGCAGGTGCTGGTCCAGTGGTAGCTGGAGTGTTGACAGCCATCTTCATGCTGGTGGTCCTGATGCTGATGTACTACTGCTGTAAACAGAACAACAAACTGGGCCAACTCAAACCCTCAGCCCTCCCGTCCAAGTTAAGGCAACACTTCAGGTAGGACAGAGTGTCGTGAAGGACTTGGGGGCCACTTGTGGGTCATCAAACTCTCTGTAAGCAGTAATGGATGAAAGAATTGGTGAGGGTGGGTCTAATTCAAGGAAGGCAGATGTAAGGTACACACTGCCTCTCCCCTTCTGCCATGCTCCATAACCAGGGCCAATATCACTAGTAGATCTTTTTGTTGTTGTTGTTGCTGAAGAATATACCCAGCAAAACCTACACCAATTCAATAGTTTCTACGTGTACAATTCAGTGACATTGATTACATTCTTCAAATTGTGCAACCATTCTCACCTTCCTTGTCTGAGTTGTTCTTCCTTCATTAACATAAACTCACTGCCCCTAAAGTTCTTATCTAATCTTTCAAGTTGCTGTTGTCAATTTGATCCCATATAAATAGTTCTTATAAGAGCATAATGCTCAGGCAGACATTTTTCACTAGTTAAGCTGAACTATTGTTGCATTTTAAGAAGACTTCAGAGGATATTTTTGGTATAAGTTTTAAAGATTATCTCAGGGCAATAATTTCAGGGGTTTATCCAGCCCCCATGGCTCCAGAAAGTCTGGAGTTCATGAGAATTTGAAAATCTGTTCTACGTTTTTCTCCTTTTGATCAGTATTCTTCTATAGAATCTCTCATCAAAATGTTCAGTAATGATAGCTGGGACTAGCTGATCTTACTATAAGTACTCCCCGTACTGAGCCTGGTCATCACTTGATCCTTCTCAGCAGAATGCTCCCAACCAATTCAAGTTGGAATATGAAATGAATCTCTTTGCCATCCTTTATCTATTTGATCTGTTCCCCATTTTAAAGAGTGGGAAACCAAGGCAGCCCCAAAGTTGCCCAAGTCAGTTCACAGTGGTGCCTGGACTTCAACTGAAGACAAAGACTAACTTTTAAAAAATTGATTACACTTGTTCTGGAGGGGATTTTAAATCCTAGGCCTTTCTGGATTTATACCAGAGGGGTTGGTTGATGGCTGATAACGTCATTGGTGTTGAGGGTTGGAGTCTCCTTAGGGAAGAAGGGTCTTAAAGGGTGAAGAGAAGGTGCTGAGGAAAACTCTGCTTTGTATTGGGCCAGCTCTCTTCTTTGGGAGTTCTCAACTGACCAGACTCAGTCTCCATACCTGAGAAGCTCGGGTTCAAGAAGACCAATCTCTGCCCTCCTCCAGATTTGGGCAGTGACATGTCTTGGGGAAAATTTGGCTGTTTGCTGCTCTGCTTGGGCCAGAGTGAGCTCAGTCACTGACCTTTTCTGGACATCCTCCATGTCCCACCCATCCCCAACTTCTCATTTCTAGTTGTCCCTTCAGGATGTCTCAGAACAGCGGAACTGGCCATGCCAACCCAACTTTCAAGTTGCAGACGCCTCAGAGTAAGCGAAAGGTAAGGGCATTGCACCACTGAACTTGCTACTTTTCCTTTATCCCTCAGGATCCTGCTGGATTTTCCTAAGAGCCTCTGCAGCCCCATAGGATTGGTAATCAAAGCCATTTTATAGGATTGAGAGGCATGTCAATTGATTCTGATATCCCTTAATGACTTCGAAGGTTGGATCTGACCTCTAGAATATTCTAGGGATTTAACAGGCCATCCTGTCCTCCCCTCTGGTCGTCTCAGTAAGATACACAAGGGAACCCCTGAGTTTTTCAGTGCTTTGAGGAGTCCTATGTCTCACGTGTTCCTTGTCTTATGCATACAGGTGACCAACACCCCTGAAACCCCTCGGAAGCCCTCCCAGCCTCCTCCCCGGCCCCCTCCAGACTACCTGCATAAGGGGTCCTCACCTGCGTCATTGCCAGCGCACCTCAGCAGGGCTGTTAGGAATGCCCCGGGGGCCAAGTCTCAAGTTGAGAGAAAGGAGTCATCCAGGAGGCCTCCCCCAAGCCGGCCAGTACCCCCTGCACCGAATTACATCCTCACCCAGGTGAGTGGGTTCTCAGCAATCCTGGGCTGGGGCATCGCCTTTAAGGTCACTGCCAGTGGGAATGTCAGAAGCTGGGAAGATGAAACTTGCTGAGTTATGAGCTGACTGCCTTTTCTTCATTCTGGTGAATGTAGGGGCACACAGACGGCTACAGCAATGACCACGAGGAAGTGTGCCCCCAGAAGCCCCCAGACCTCAAAGCTTTCCTCCCTGCTTGGCCTGCCTATTTTATGACAAGCTGCTATCCACCTTGCACCCTCAGTTAACTTCTCTCAGTTCCCCATGCTCATCTCCCCTCTCGGTTTTCGCAAATGCTGCTTTTGCCTGACACCCTCCTTCCTTTTGCATGTCCAACTCTCATGCATCCTTAGATCTCATCTTGGATGTCGCTTCCTCCAAGAAGCCATCTGTGACCCCCAAGTCTGAGTTTAGGGCCCCTATACTTCTTCTATCATAGTATTTATCTGACTACATTGTATCCACTTGTATCTACTGATTCGGAAGTCTTCCTAAGGGAGGTAGCCTTGATGCTTTGTTCATCCAAGGACAGGTCAAGGGGCTAGGGCCTCCGGGAGTGTGAGTGAGGTCCAGGCTACACCCCCACCACTGCCGCTCATTGGAAGCAGAGCCACCTCCCCAGCAGCTTGTTCACCTAGCGTGTATGTGCTCTGTCAGCTCCACCTGTTCCCTCTGGCGGGAGGTTACCCCCGTGCAGGCACAGGTGTTTCCAGGGCGTGGCAGGGTGTGGTGACTTCCTGATCTTTGTGTTTTGTGTGCCCCTCGTGTGGGGTTGAGGACTTACTCGGTTTCCTTCTGGGATTTCTTTTCTTGGACTTGGTCCCGAGGGCTCTCTTGGGGCCCGTGCTGTCTCTGATCCTAAGCATTGAGGGGCTGACACCAGGTTTTGGGACATGGGACAGTGTTAGGGTTGGGCAGAGCTGAGAGCATCTGGTTTGGTGAAACTGCTTCTCTCTGATTCCTCTCATCTGGGGTTAGGATGGGTTGGAAAAATCCATGAGGAAGGGGAGGGGAATGATTGACAGGGTGAGAGGAGAGGAAGGGAGAAAAAGAAAAGAGCAAGAGGAGGGAAGAGTAGAAAGAGAGAAGAGGAGATGGAGAGAGAGGGGAGAAAGTTCCTGTGTAGGTACAGGGTGTGGAGGGAAAACAAAGTTGCAGGAGGAGGGAGAATGTCGAGAAAAAAGGAAGGAGAGCGGTCCGTTCAGATCCATATTCCTGAAACATCCACATTGGAGGTCTGTTCAAAGAAGACAGGGCCAGCCTCACTCTGGCTCGCCCCAAGGCACTGGGCCCTGGTTAGGAGGGTGCAGGGGCATCCAAAATTCAGCTGGTGGAGAGAGACCCTGCAGGCTCCATGCCTAGCTGCCACCTCCACTCTCCTTGGTGGCTGCTGTCAGGAGTCCCGAGTGCAGGAATTCACCCAGCCAGTGACAGTATCTCAAAACACAGATCCCAAGCTCAGCTTTCCTGGGTCCCAGGGCTCAGACGGGTTTATCCAAGGGCAGGCAGTGGGAAGCAGCTGCTCTGAGGGGAGACTCCTTCCTCAAAGCCATTCCAAGAACTGAGTTATTGTTATCTTTGTTTTCTTACAAGGTAGCTGAGTTTCACAGACTTAAAGGAATTCACCCAAGATCACACAGGTTGTAAGTGGAGGAGCCAGGACTTGACCCCAGGTCTGATTCTAAACTCTTAGCCACCGTGTGTGCAGGTCCTGGCTTAGGCTTCGGGGTACAGAGCTGAGTGACACCACCCTACCCTGGAGGCGCTCACAATCTAGAACAATCTAGAGAGAGCCAGCCAACCAGACCTTAGCTCCACTCATAGCTGGGTGACATGGATCACCTGGAAAGGCAGTGAGTGAAACTTTGTAACCCCTTTTGTTCTTTCCACAAGTGTGTATTGAACATCTACTCTGTGCTACACAATGGTGAGCAAAATAGATGCGTCGCTGCTTCCTCGTGCTTCATTCTACTAGGGAAAAGACTCAGACACATGTAGTTACAACAGTGATAAGTACCATGAAGGCCAGTATAATGAGGGGATTTGACCTAGTCTGGGAAATCTGAGAAGGCTTCCCTGAGGAGGTGGTGTTCAGCTGAGGCATGAAGGATGAGCAGGAGTTAACCAGGTTGCGTGTATGAATGGCAAGGGAGATTTCCTGGCCAAGGGACCCGCTAGTAGAGAGGCTCTGGAATGGAAGGTTGGAGGAACTTAAAGGCCAGTATAGCTGGAGCCCAAGGAGCTATGAGAAGAGGCTGGAAAGCCAGGAGGGGCCAGACTGTGCCAGGCCTCATGGGCCTTGGTCAGGACTTTGGTCTGCATCCTGTGGGAAGGGGGAAGTGGTGGGCGGTGATCAGATTTGCTATTTACTAGGGTCACCTTTGGGCTCTCTACAGGCAGGAGGGAGGCATAGTGCCTGGGAGGGGCCATGAGTGCTTCTAGGGCTGCTAATCTTCTATTTTTGACCTGGGTAGGAATTAAATAATTGTGTTTCCCTTGTGATAATTCATCTAGTTGTATATTTATGATTTGTTCATCTCTTTATACACATATTACACTTTAATTTTTTTTTAAGTTAAAACAAAAAGAAAGACTTACTTTTGCAGCAATGTGTGTTACTGGTTGAAAGGGATGAGAGTGGATGCCCAGATATACTAGTCAGATGGTTTAAAAGTTGTCCAGGAGAGAGATGATGGTAGCTCGGAGCAGGGGTGGAGCAGGGGTGATGGAGTGAAACAGAAGAGAGATGTGTAGAAGAGAAAATAAACAGGACTTGGGAGCGATTTAGAGTCCTTAGGTCATGTGAATGGTTAACACTCAGCTGCTAACTAAAAAGTTGGAGGTTCGAGTCTACTCAGAGGCATCTCGGAAGAAAGGCCTGGGGATCTACTTCCAGAAAATCAGCCATTGAAAACCCTGTGGAACTCAGTTCTGCTTTAACACACATGTGGTTGCCATGAATCAGAGTTGACTCCACAGCAACTGGTTTTGGGGAACAGTTACAAACGGGGTTGTCAGGAAATGACTCTGGTGTCTGGCTGCGCAGCCTGAGTGATGGAGGTGCCACTCCCTGAGGAAGGGAGCTGTGGCCTGGGGGGCTCAGGGTCTCTTTCTGCCTCTGGAAAACAGTGCTGGGTGTGCCGCCCCAGGGAGCCGAGCTGGCCTATATCAGATGTGGCAGTGCTAGGACACTGCTTTGGGGGACCCAGAGCTGACAGGCTGATTAAGCTCCTGCATCCAGATGACATCCCCTAGTTTCTCACTTTGCACAGCCAGCAGCCAAAGGAGCACAGCATCTCCAATTGCACCCTGACATCTGCACCCAGCTGTTTTTCCTCGAGAAGGTCTCCTTCTGGCAGCCACTGTGATTTGGTGGCTGTCCTGAACTGCCCTGCGGGGAAGGGATGGAGCCAGAGAACAGAGCTTTTTGGGCACAAGAATTTGCTACTCTTCTTTTCTCTGAGCCTTAGTTTCTGCTCTCAGTTTTCTGACAACTGAGATGCTCTTGTGGAAAATCCCAGTTCTCTGACTCAACCCTGCCCTTCCACAGGCTTGCCTGTTGGCCATTTTTATGCTTGTTAGTGGCCTTCTTGGAAAGAGGAACAAGATCAAGGGCAGCAGACACTGGAACTCCCACGTGTGAAATTGGCTTCTCTCCTAAACCCCACCAATTTATGGATCTGTGGGTAGCACAGGCCGTTCTTTCCCCATTAAAATGTTTTTTTTTTTTTTTTTTTTTGGTAGCCACAGAAGAAATGCATACTCACTGTAAGAAATTTGCCTAGCACACAAATTTATGTATCTATCTATCTTTAGTAATAATACTAATACTAATCTCAATACTAATATGTATTGAGTATTTATTGTATACTAGGCACAGTTCTGAAAGTTTGAGATGTATTAGTGACCCAAACAGACAAGAACCCCTGCCCCACTTCCCTTTTAGTGGGGGGCAGGGAGACAGAAAATAAATGATTAACTTAATAAATAAGTAAACTTTATAGTATGTTGGAAGGGGTAAATGATATAGGAAAAAAAGGAAGCAGATCAGAATAAAAGGGGCTGGGAGTGGCAAGTGCCAGGGGGTGGGTGGGGGTGGCTGTAATTTTAAATAAGGTAGTCAAGGAAAACTTTACTGAGAAGGTGACAGAAATACAAAAGTAATACAAAAGTGCAAAAGGAGAGAATCCTGTTAATTGTGCACCCACAGGCAACCAATGGGAAAAATACGATATCTTCTTCTTTTCTTTTTTTAATTTTATTTTTATTTGCATAGGTAACACACATATCTGCTTTTGTTTAAAAATTAAATGTTCAAATTCTAACTCACAAAAAAAGACCAGACGTACTGGTCTGACAGAGACTGAAGAAGCGAGAGTATGGCCCCTAGACACCCTTTTAACTCAGTACTGAAGTCACTCCCAAGGTTCACCCTTCAGCCAAAGATTAGACAGGCCCATAAAACAAAACGAGACTAACGGGGCACACCAGCCCAGGGGCAAGGACAAGAAGGCAGGAGGGGGCAGCAAAGCTGATAATGGGGAACCCAAGTTCAAGAAGGGGAGAGTGTTGACAGGTCATGGGGTTGGCAGCCAGTGTCCAAAAACAAAATGTGCATTAATTGTTTAATGAGAAACTAGTTTGCTCTGTAAACCTTTATCTAAAGCACAATTTTTTTAAAAAAATGAAAAAAAAATTGAATGTTCCCCTGGACCACCCCCTCCCCACTCATACTCTATCCCAGTCCCTTCCCCAGAAGCCACCTCAGTTATCAACTTGGTCTTATCCTTCCTGACATTTTTCTATTTATGTAAGTATGTGTGTGTGTAGTGGTGATTTATTTTACATAAAATAGCCTGTCCCACAGCCTGCACTTCAGCTTGCTTTTTTCTCTTAACAACGAGTCTTGAACATCTCTCAACATCAGCACATATCAATCTACCTTGTTCTTTTTAAACGCTGCGTATTTTCCTGTGTAATTT